CGCTCATTATCACACATTGAAATAAATACAATCATAAAGTCAAAACTTTATTGGCATTATTGTCAGGCGTTTATTTGCTAAATATATGGTAGGCTAGCAAATGCTAGCATAATTATACATAACGTACACTAGGTAAAGCGATACACAAATTGAAAGGGGAAATAAGCATATATAACAATAAATATAAAAATATAGCCCTAATAAGTTAATGTAGTAGTAATAATAATAATAATAATAATATACAAATATTAAATTAAATGTTTAATGTTAATAAAAATGTTTGATCCATTTTTGATAATCCTGGGTTGCTATTGTCACGCAGGTTTGTTTACGCATTAAACTCGTGGCCACGAGAAAAATAGCCTATGCCCTCAACATAAGAAGTCATGGCCACGAGAAATGGATGTCGTTCCCTCAACATAGCATCTCGAGGCCACGACATAAGGATGTCGTTACTTCGACAAAATTATCTCGTGGCCACGACATATTATCACGTTCCCACGAGTTATGTTGTGGCCATGACAAAAATAAGTGAACCGACTATGTCACCTTGTGGGCACCGTAGTATTATAATACTTTTGCACATGAAAGGACAGAACAAGAAAGGCTATTAATAATTTAATGTATAGCACAGTAATGGAGGCAGCAACATATGATAGATAGGACTCCTATCTATCATATGTTGCTGTCTCATTACTGCTGTGCATTTAAAATAAATGTATTTTAAGTTTATAGTATATAGTATTTATATATAAATATATTTACTTGTTTTTCATGAATGTATTTTACTACAATACAAAGAGCAATGTATAAAATTTTACCAGATATAGTCCTACACTTATTCACTTTTATTTGTTCCCCAATGTTATTTCGCTAAATGTTTACATTTTATAAAATTATTGTGCACTCATGATTTTTCTAGAATAACCTAACCTAGTTTATAATAGTATTATTTTCATAGATTATGATTATATATTTTTTTATTTGTTATTTTTCATTAAAATGAAGTTGTCTATATTTGGTAGATTGTGTTTAACTCACGTATGTACTCACTCAAGTACATTAATTCTACATTGATTTTTAAAAAATGTGCTGGTATCGGATCTGGATCTGTTGACCGATACTCAGAATTTTCAGTATCGTATCGTATCGGATTTGTTTAAAAAAATATTGTATCGTTGCATCCCTAATTTATTATTTATTATTTTTATTTACTTAGGATATCTTTTTTCACATTCCGATTCCAATGTCTAAATATTCTTTATTTTATGAAAAAAATTTTTTTTATTTTGTTCTTTGAAAGAGTGTACTTGCATTATTATGCTATATTGCCATACTGTCATTAATGAGTGGCATAAAATGGTCGTAAAATGGCAATAATATAATTTATCGCAATTAATTTTGGTGCAATATATCACACAACAAAAAGTAGTTATCGTGACAGCCCTAGTAGACAAGGAGTTACAAGCTTTATAGGGAAAGTGACCCCAATAAGAATATTTTAAGTTAAAAAATAACAATAATTTCTTAATATCACTTTCCAACCTGCTAGTCTTTCATAAAATCTCTGTAACTCACAATAGCCAGTTCCAAAATGACATCATCCTCCAAGAAGTGACAACGTTTTTTAAGACAAGTAATTTAAGACAAAATTACACAAACCATAAAAAAACTAAGTATTCTGTTGATAGTTTTGGACTGAACAAAGAATTGGTATATATATATATATATATACAGTGGGTACGGAAAGTATTCAGACCCCCTTAAATTTTTCACTCTTTGTTATATTGTCAATATGGGGTGCTGTGTGTACATTAATGAGGAAAAAAAATTAACTTAAATGATTTTAGCAAATGGCTGCAATATAACACAGAGTGAAAAATTTAAGGGGGTCTGAATACTTTCCGTGGAACCATGTCCTGTGGTCTGATGAGAACAAAATAAACTTATTTGGTTCAGATGGTGTCTGGCGTGTTTGGCGGCATACAAAGACAAGTGTGTCTTGCCTACAGTCAAGCATGGTGGTGGGAGTGTCATGGTCTTTAAATTCATAAATTATTCAATGATTTAAATGACTGAAAATATACTTTAAAAATGAAATTAAAACAGCCAGTAGGTGGCGGCAGGTCACTGATTTTATTACTGAATCATTCATTTAATTGATTAATTCAAATGGCTGATTCATTCAGGAGTGAAGCAAGTGACTGTCTTTATGAATGGGTAATTGAATCTTTGACTCACTAGATTTGTTTAAAAATGCACGTTCATTCATAAACGAAACATCGCTGCTTAGAGATGTGCAGCTGTGACTGTTTTAGCAAAATCAGTCAATAGTGTTATAGTCAGACAATGTAAGTCACTTAATATTTCTTGTTTATTAAATTGTTGTATTAAATCAATATCACATTTGCAAACTCCCTTAATAATCAATAATAGCTGTCACTCTCCATAGTTCATCACGATCTCGCAAAGTTCTATTATAATCAACAAAGTGAGCTTAGAGTGAGCTTATAGAACTGAGCACTGAACAAAATGTCAGTTAATACACATGCAAAAACATGTATTAAGTAGAAAGGCTCGACGCTCCCCTGATCGGAAACACAAATATGCTGATTGGGTCAGTCGCACCGGTGCTCCTAAATATTTTTTCATAGTCGCTCGCACGCAATAGTTTTTATAGACATATGGCAGAAAAAAATAATAAAATCCCATGTCCAGGGATTTTTTTTTGCCATGCATTGGTCATAGAGCTCTTTGTGGCGTTGCCTCAGATGTTGAACTAGATTTGTTGCGCCAAGTTCAGACGTACTCCGTCTGCAGTGCGTGTATACAGTATGTGTATGCGGTGCAGAAGCAGCACGGACTCATTTTGCTTTTGCACAGGACGCGTTTGCAGTCCGCTCCTGATCCGCGGCTGTTTACCACAAACACAACATTTATCCATTATTTTGATTTCAAATCCAAACGTATCTGAAAATGCTTTTTCAGCATTGTGATTCTCTTTTATCACAGTACAGTAATACAATCTTTCATAGACATATTAATGTTTAAACTCAATAAATATAACTTCGTTTAACTACCACCACGAGTGCCATCTATTATTGCCTTGTTTATCTAAAAGTGCACTTTTCCTTGTTTTAAAAATAGACAAAAAGCCATGTGTTGACTATGAAACAGTAGACTTTAATTATATGCATTTATGGTGTAATTACTAAATTTCCGTGTCAATCCATGTTAATTTTTACCGCAAATAATGCGCTGTCACTTTAATTCAGCACGTGCAGCACAGCAGAAATAGATTCCGTGCGGAAACGATCGCAGCATGACTGCTACAGACGCACCGCTCCTCGAACGCACTGCCGGATTGCAATCGCATGCAGTGTGAATGCTCTGATCCGTTAACATGGGTGCGGAAAAAATACGCACCACAGACGGAGTGTGTGAACCTGGCGTTACGTTTGTATGCCTGACCGGTCTGTTCTGTTCTCGTGCTCCATTTAGGCGCGCTGCATTCTGATTGGTTCGGATAGCATACTGCGGGAGGTCGGGGGCGCGGAAAATCGTGCTATAAAGAGATTTAGAAATCTCAAATCGCGATTTTATGACGATTTCGATTAATCGCACAGCCCTAGTATGTATGTTAGTTGGTCCCCCCCCCCCCAATGTTCAAGACATGGTTATGGCCTTGCTGTAAGTTGAACTGCTTCAAGAACCTCGCTACTGAGAAATGTCATGTAGCTTTTCAGTTGCAAAATTATTTTATTGATAAATTCACAGGGCTGCGCTGACAACTTTTTTTTGTGAGTGATTTGTAGCTACTGTCTGACAGTCACTGAGAAAGTTGCATCACAACTGCTGTTTTTCTAGAATCTGTTGTTGAAATGGGCTGCACAAATCTATATTACTTTAACCTATTCAAACTCACCCAGAACCCAGGATATCAGGTCTAGAGAGTGAAACGTCCCACTATCAAAGCTCCTTACTGGATGCACCTCTGAATAGTCTTTCTGAAGCTACTGTATACAGACTACATGCTATCATGCATTAGTACATTTATTTCCTATAACTAAATTGAGCGTACCCTTGGCTGTGATGAATGTCAGTGTGTGAAATAATAATGTAGTCCCATGCACTGCTGACCATGCGTACTACATATACAATGTGTTTTTTCCTGCATTATGATGAAGTCGCTTGTCCCTAGGGTGTGATTTATATTCTGTTGCCCACACATTCCAGTCGTTCCTTGGAAACTCATGCAGATCTGGTTTTACTTACTGTACCATCAGGTTTTTATCCGGATAATTTTTATGGAAAGTGACAACTTGCGCCAAAGTGACTTTTTCTTTCTCATTTTCAATGCAGCCATCCACGAGTTCCCTGAGGATATATTCACCAACAGACAGCGTACTCAAGGAGCTGTACTTCTACACATATTTGCGGTAGGAGAACTTTGTGTGCGCACGTCAATCAACGTCTTGCCTTGCTCACCAGTTGACCTTGTCATCCAGGATAAATGGTGCTTGTCTTAGAATTTTATGACAATTATAAATAGTTTGTCAGCTCTCGCCATCATTTATGACTGGTTATGAGTTTGCCATTGGGTTCACGGTGCTGAAACCACCCTGTCAACAACTGCTTATAGAACAGAAAACCATTTAGACATGCAACTTGAATTATTTCTGCACATTAAGCCCCATTATGGTGCATCTCATTCTTGTCTATCTTCCCATTTCAGGCTCTATATATGTTTCTGGCCCTTGCTATTGTCTGTGATGACTACTTTGTGACCTCTCTAGAGAAGATCTGTGAGGTGAGAATAAATTGGCTGTGGCAACGATGGGCTTCCAGTTCCCAGAATCACTTTGACCTGTTCTTCTAAACCCATTTCTAACACCTTCCTGTTATGCTGGATACTAGATCTTGTAATACTAATATGCAACTCTGTTAGAGATAGGTGTAGGTAAGGGGGGTTGGTTTGAGTTTTTCTTTTTAGTTTTAATATATTTTTTTAATAGGCAATTTCTTATAGAAGGTTTTAGCATGCTGGCAGCCTGCTGTGCTTTAGCTCAATGCACTGTATTTGTAATAAATTCTCAATTTTTTACAATAAACTTTGACAAATTAAAGTCCGACTTCAAATCGCCTGCTGCGGGCAATGTTCTTATTATGCATAATCCTTTAAAATGCATAACTAAAGGTTATAGTTAGTCAGTTGATTTATTTATTTTATTATTTTTTTTAATATCTGTCAATTACTCAGCATTTATTGTGTAGCGAATCAGCTCATGGGGAAATATGAATAATTAACCATAACTAGTTATAATTAACTATTCATATTTTAGATCCACTGTAGATATTTAGCTGACCACTCAGGGTCAACTGTCTTGTCAATTCTAAGACGTTAATTTCCTGGTTAAGGGAAATAACTTTCTTACTGTACAATTCTATAAGCTTGTAACGTAAATCTGCATGATTATTGACTCCGGTTATGAGTAAACAATGAACACGTCAAGTGTGATACAAGTAAGGTTTTATTAACTACATAAACACTCAAAATATCCCTAAAAAATGTGCCTGATCAGTGTCTGGGCAATATGACTCTTAACCCAGCCAATTCCTTAAAGGTCCCATATTGTCAAAACTGAAATTTCCTGGCTTTTCTCACGATTACTGAGGTCTAGGGGCTATTTAACTACCATATAAGTTTCAAAACAGTCAGTCCACAGTAAAATGCACACAGCCTGCTTAAAGTTCTAGCTATTTTTCACGAACCGTTGTGACTTCCTTAAAAAGTTGACGTCAGAACTACACAGTCACCACCCCGAGCACCGCCCACAGTCCCACTCTCCTTTTGCCAAACCCTTAGACAACATCGCATCCATGCTTTTGCTGAGAAAGGACAACACGGAAACATGTCAAAAAGGTTAACTTTAACCACGAAACCAGATTGGCCGACACTCTCACTCAAAGGATGGACGATCTGACAGGATTGTTACTATGAAGTGATCACATCTAACGTGTATAGTAAAGACAAACTCACCGTCGCTATCTAGTCATGATGAAGATGTATATACATTTCAATTTCAACAGGAAACAGGCAACCCAGAGGTGGAGGTGCCTGCTCTTCAGGAGATGGTAAGCACACCACTCCCTCCCCCGGAGGAGGGCTGGGCGGGAAGAATCTTTTCATCTTTTTCCGCCACTGAACTCTCGGTCAGTGGTACCCAAATACTCGACAAAGAGCAATTCCTCTATTTCTGGGTCCCCAGAGGAGACGGGGGGTTGTGAACGATCCAGTGCGTATCACACTCATCCTCCTCTCTCGCCAGTGAGCAGCAGTGGGGGGATCGGGAGGACGAACCAACGGACTACCCACGCACCCTCTGCTCAAACGCAGGTCAGTGTTACACACACCCAGACCCCGCCTCGGACCGGCTACGAGATGCCCGGGCCGGGTCCCTGCATTCTTCCGCGCTGCCCCACTGCGGGGACGCCTGTAGTTCCGTTGATGCCACTTGCGTGGTGTCTGGGAGCCTGGCTTGAGCTACCCAGCCCGTCTCGATGACTCCTTCGAACCGTCAAGCTCTGTTATGCGATTCAGTCGCCCGGCGTCCCCCCAAGTGCAGTGGCATCCGCTTCACAAGAATGAAGGCGGCCGATGGTCCTGTTTTGCGGGCGGAGGTCGCAGTCCTACTGGCGAAGGATGCAATAGAGCCGGTCTCTCTTGCCGATATGAAGATGAGGTTTTACAGCTCCTACTTCATTGTACCCAAGAAAGGTGGTGGGTGAGGCTCCTGGGGCATATGGCAGCTACGGCAGCAGTCATGCCACTGGGGCTGCTCCATATAAGACCGCTGCACCACTGGCTCCATAGCTGAGTCACGAGGTGGGCGTGGCAACGCGGCACTTTCCGGGTCCAAGTTACACTGGCCTGCCGCCAAATCTTCACCCCGTGGTCAGACCTTGCTTTCCTCCGGGCAGGAGTGCCCCTGGAGCAGGTCTCCAGGCATGCTGTGGTTTGCACGGATGCCTCAACCACCGGTTGGGGGGCCACGTACAAGGGGCTTGCAGTATTGCGTACATCAATCGACAAGGTGGTCTGCACTCCCGTCGCATGTCGCAACTCGCCCGACACCTCCTCCTCTGGAGTACAGTTGCTGTGCAAGGTCAGGGAGGACGAGGAGCAGGTTCGGCTGGTGGCACACTATTGGCCAACCCGGACCTGGTTCCCGGAACTAATGCTCCTCACAACAGCCCCTCCTTGGCCGATTCCTCTGAGGAAGGATCTACTGACTCAGAGACGGGGCACCCTTTGGCACCCGCGTCCAGAGCGAAGGCTGTCTCCCTCCACCCTCAAAGTTTATGTCGCTGCAATCGCGGCTAACCAAATAGGCGACCCCGTAGAAGGGAGGTCGCTGGGGAAGCATGACGTGGTTGTCAGGTTCCTCAAGGGGGCGAGAAGGCTAAATCCTCCACGGCCCCCCCTCTATACCCTCTTGGGACCTGACTCTAGTGCTCACAGCACTACAGCAGGGCCCATTTGAGCCTTTGCAGATGGTCGAGCTGAAATTTCTTTCAATGAAGACTTTGCTCCTACTGGCATTGGCCTCCATCAAGAGGGTAGGGGACCTGCACGCATGTTCAGTCAACGATTCGTGCCTAGAGTTCGGGCCGGCTGACTCCCAGGTAACCCTGAGGCCCCGGCCCAGCTATGTGCCCAAGGTTCCCGCTACGCCCTTCAGGGATCAGGTGGTGAACCTCCAAGCGCTGCCCTTGGAGGAGGCAGACCCAGCCCTAGCTTTGCTCTGTCCCGTC